CACATCTCTCCCTCTGAAGGGGATCAGGATCCAGGTTTCCTTTGGGAAGCAGCAGCCTGGCTCCCATGAGCATCCAGGAGACACATCTCTCCCTCCGAGGGGATCAGGGTCCAGGTTTCCCTGAGGCACTGCAGCAGGTGGTGAGGTTGGGTGTTGGAAAGGTTCGAGTTCAATTGCTGCTCTCACAAGCAAAGGCTTGCTCACTGTAAGGAGAAGCAGTTGCAGGACAGTAGCAGTGAATTCTCTCTGCAGCAAAACCCAAAACCCCCAACACAACCTGTGTCTTCTCCAATCCCAAAAGCACGAGGGCCAAACCCAGCCCCGACCTCCAGCCCAGGCTCGTGGTGTCTCTGCATTTCCCAAGAGAAATACCTGCAGCTAAGGGACAGTAGCAAACTGCACCCCTTTTCCTCCTCACCCCACAGTGCCCCCCTCCCCTACCACATCTTTTGTCTCTCTTAAATATCCATTGTTCCCATCTCTTAAGACAACAAAAGGGAGAAAAATTCTCTGTGAGAAAGGAAAAAAAAAGGAAAAAAAACCACTCAGAAACAGAAAAGGACGAAAGGAGCACTGTTAATAAGGAGCATTTTATTTTCAGGTGTTGACCAGAAAGCATGCCCAGATGCTTTTCTGGTTAGGATTTATAGTTCCTTAGACTTCACAAAATAAAACTCAAAAGCTTCAACGCCACTCCTAATTCAGCCTGACAAACCACTCCCTGTCCTCCGTGCTGTCTGGTGGCAGGTCAGGTCTCTCTCCCAGAGGCAGCTATTAGCAGATGACGTAGCGGACGAGCCCCGAGCTGCGGATCTCTCTCACTCTCTGGCAGTGCCTCAGGATGCTGAGCATGATGTAGAAGCGCTTATCCAATTTCAGCTTAGTGAACTGCTTGATATCATTGTCCACAATAAAAAATACTCCTGGAAAACAAACAGTTTTGTTACAGAAACTACTCTGTTGTTACACACACAGCATTCCACAAGCGACAGCACAGCCTCTTCTTCATAATTCCACAATCTACAATTCATAATTCCACAGTCAGTAGGATGGCTCCACAGTGCATTGGGAACTTTGTTCTACTTTTAAAACCTGTCATCAGAATGACAATGGGCAGCCTTCCCCTGACATTCAGACACTCTGCATCATCCAAGCTCCATGAGCTCTGTCTCCCAGCAGGCACTCATGTTCTGGAATTAGATCTTTTCCATAAGGACAGAGCCCTGCCTGCATCAAGCTATGCAGCCCTCCATTCCCTTGACTTATATCAGATGTGGAAAAGAATAAGTCATCATTCCTTGAGAAAATTACAGGAAAAGACTTGCAACAGCATCGTCCCTGTGTCTCCAAGAAAACAGCACAGGGAAGCCTCGCTTCAAAGCTGAATGCTTACCCGCTTCTTGTAGTTGATTAACTATTTCCATAAGCAATCGGTCATTAAAATTCAGGCTGCCCAGGGCAGTGGTGGAGTTACCATCCCTGGTTCAAAAGTGTTCAGAAAGCCGTGTGAATGTGCCCCTGGATGACATGGTGTAGTGGTGAACATGGCGCTGGAATTTTCCAACCTAAATGATTCCTGAATGATGTGTAGTAGCATGCTTCCAAGTCTAAAGGGAAGGAGGACACAAGAGTAGGGAGGGGTGTTTTAGCTTAGAAAAAGAAGATAGCATTGTCCCTCCTTGTTTAATCCTTAACACAGAGGCAGTGACATCTTTGGAAAAATGGAGCATCTCCTCCTCCTATTAAGTCCTTCCAGTTTCACTGGAAATAACTGATCCAAACTGGAAAGCCGAAGCTGCCAGAATAGAATTATGGTCCAAGAATTATGTTTGTAAGTGCAATGTCCCCCAAAGTCTTGCTTAGACAGAGCTAAGAAATAACAGATCATGTTTTCTCACAGCCTGGGCCTCTCATGAGAGTTGGTGTCACACATGTCTCACAGGGAGTAGAATCTTCCAGAGACAATCACTGTCAAAATCTAGAGATATTTCCCCAGAGAGGAACTCAGTTGGAATTTCAGAGCTTGAAATGCCACCAAATTCACATACAGATGAGAAGTAGGAAGTTTGTTTACTAGGAAAAGAAAGAAGAACTGCATTACTGCTCAAAATAGAAAATTATCTCAAATAGAGACCATTTACAACTTCCAAGGACACTAACACACACAGACAGTGTTGGGAAGCCAGGCATAACCTGCCTGCTGCCTTCACAGGCTGTTACATCTGGGGGAGCATCAGAACCCCCTGAATTTTGATAAAACAAGATTTCTTCTTATATTTGCTCACAATCCAGAGTGGCAACATTCAGCAGAGCAGGATCTTTCTTGTGAAGAAATCAGAGCTGTGTGAAGGGCAGTGGTTTGGTCCATGTGCTAAACAACCAGCTAAATTGACTGAGCCACCTGAGTGGCTGGAAGTGACCCTGATAAACCAGGCAGCATCTTATCTCTTCTTGAAATCAGAGAAGAGGTCAGCTGGCAATCAGCCCAGGCTGAGAACCAGTGGGAATCCTAAGCAGAGAGACACTCACAGGAGAGATTTAAACAAACAAATCAATGAATGTGGAACATCATCCTGAAAAATGCAATGGATAAAGACATTTAATCATTATGTGCTGGCCAGATACGAACCATCTGACGGCCTGCCAGGATTTTTCTCTACACTTTCTAAATGATTAATCACAAAAAAACCTAAACAAAACCATCTACCACACAAATACACACGTTCTAATAGATGCTGAATGTCCTAGTTTCCTAACTGAACTTCCCAAAACGAAAGAAATAAAGGCCATCTCTCAGGTGCTTAAAGAAATTAAGCACTTCAGTTTTTCAGACTAGGGTCCCCAGCTGACAGAAAATCCTCTGGCCAGCTGAAGTTTTCACGTTGCTAGGATGGTTCATTCACTGCAGCCAAGAATACTGTGGATCATAGTGCAGACTGAGCAGCACTCCAGGCCCAGGAGGGCCCTTCTCGTGTTCAGCCTCTCTTCTACAGCTGTGGGCTCAAACTCTTTACTACTGTTCTAAGGATAGGAACAGTGATACCAAAAATATGTTGCAAATCAAATTAATGAAGCCAGAATTTTAAGAAACCCAGATGAATATAAGCTGCTGTTCAACTGAGGCACAACATACATAGAGAGAAACCAAACCAGAAGTCAGTAACACAAATTTATGCAGCTGCATGTTCTTAGAATACTTTTAATAAAGCCCTTTACAACAATGACCTTTGAATGGCAACTGAGACCTTATCTGGAGGTCATCTGAGACCTCACAGGTCTCATCCTGTGTCCAGCCCTGTGACTACACCATGAGAAGGATGTGGAGCTGCTGGAGCCAGCCCAGAGGAGGCCACGGAGCTGCTGCCAGGCTGGAGCCCCTCTGCTCTGGAGCCAGCCTGGCAGAGCTGGGGCTGTTCCCCTGCACAAGAGAAGCTCCAGGGAGAGCTCAGAGCCCCTGCCAGGGCCTCAAGGGGCTCCAGGAGAGCTGCACAGGGACTGGGGACAAGGCAGGCAGGGACAGCACACAGGGAATGGCTCCCACTGCCAGAGGGCAGGCACAGATGGGAGATTGGGAATTGGGAATTGCTGGCTGGGAGGGTGGGCAGGCCCTGGCACAGGGTGCCCAGAGCAGCTGTGGCTGTCCCTGGATCCCTGGGCTTGTCCAAGTCCAAGATGGACAGGGCTTGGAGTAACCTGGGACAGTGGAAGTTGTCCCTGCCATGGCAGGGGGTGGAAGTAGCTAATACTGAAGGCCACTTCCAACCCAAACCATTCTGTGATTCTCTGTTTATCTTACAGGTCTCAAAGCGCCAGCATGTCCCTCAGATCAGAATTCCCTCTGCAGAAAAGCTGCATTTAGAACCCAGAAGTCACTAGTCACTGATGTCATCATCACACTATAATATCCAGAGTCTTGAACAGCAGTAAAAGCAAAGGAAGGAAGAAAAAGTTGCAGTTTATCTTCAGGGCACTCCTGAGTACCCAGGGAATGCTCAGGGCAGAAGGTCTAGCACTCTGTCCAGGGCTAAAATGAAGGTGGGTGCCGTGTTGTCAGAGACAGCTCTTTTTATGTGAAACAGAAGAGACTTTGCTCCACTCTTTATGCCTCAGCTTGCAAACATGAGAGCATTCTAAGGACATCACCAAGCTTGACATGTGCAGTACGCCCCTCCAGGAATAATTACATACTTGTTCTCAAGAGAAAAAGCATGCCAAAAAGAAGATTTTAATATCAGAGATTTACAGTGACACATGTTTTTGGAAAAAACAGCCCGTAAGTGCAACTTACTTTTCAATTGAAAGAAAGGTGTTTTGGTTTTCACTCCCTGTGTGCTTTTAAGAGGAGAAAACTTCTTAAGATTATCACACAGACTTACCTCTTCCACAAAGCCACTACAGCACAGTTAATTAGCCAGATTTCCCAACTTCAGAATTAATTTTTAATTGTTCATGTCCAATCAAGTTTAACACCTGAGAACGCATTTCCATGGTTTGGTTATCAAGCTAAAAATTTCCAGAACTTGTAGTAATTCCAAACTAAATCTTTGTGCAAAGTTTCTGCCATGACACACCATCAAAGAGACATATTTTTCAAGGAAAACATTCACTATGAATGGGAAACTCTTCAGTCAAAGATACTGAAAAAAAGACCAGTATTTTTATACTTCTGCTGCAACATCCAAGTGTTACGAGTTTGGTATTAAAAAAAGGAAAAAAAAAAAAAATTACCATTTGTATCCCTAGTTTCTTCTTCTATGAACCGGTGGTAGAGGTTTCTGACTGGTGCACTCATAGACTTCAAAGGCTGATACAAGATCTTGTACTTGTCCACCACGGCCTTGTTAATCTCTTCAACAACTGCATTAATCTGATCATATGTTATACGGCCTTTCATATACCTACAAATAAAAATAAGAATCAGTAACCAGAAAGTTCTGTGTTTATTCTTCTCTTTCATCTGCCTTAACTGAAGAAGCCATTCCTAGTTAGAGGCAGTTTCTCCTGTTTTGTACCATTGAAAACATGTATTAGTTAATTCTGCTCATTTCCTTGATTGCTTAACACTCTTGAAGGTAAAAACGCCATGACATAATCTAAACCAGAAAGATAAACTATTAGAAAGCTAAATTAAGAAGCACAATGTATTCAGTGCTTAAGCTGCAAAAAGCTTTTCAAAGTAGAATAAAGGTTGCTTTTGTAGTGTACCACTTAAACACAGAAAAATAAAGTAACTTTGCAGAAAACAGCATGAAAAGAAATGTTTGTCTAGGAGCACAACTTGACTCATATTATCACCACAAATAGCCTGTGTTTGATGTTACAACCATTTATTGTTTAGCCAGAGCACCAAACAATCCAGCAATGGGCGTGGAGCAGAGCTGGAGCACAGTGGCCCTGGCCCACCATGGGCCCTTTTCTTTTTGTTTGTTTGTTGGTTTGTTAGTTTGTTCGTTTGGTTTTTGTTTTGTTTGATGTGGCACTCAGTGCCATGGTTTATTTGAAGTCTTAGGGCATGGGTTGGACTCAAAGATCTTGAAGGTCCCTTCCAACCTCGTGATTCTGTGATTATCTGAGGTTTTTTGAAGAGCTACTAGTTGTGTTGCCTTTTGTATTTGACTGTGCAAGCTATTCAGCTGTGCAGATACAGTTCTGCACCACCAGCATCCGTTTCTGAACTCTCAGAGCATTTCATAATACTAGTACTGGAAGAATAAGGTCTGTTGATAACAGCCTAGAGGTACAGGAAGCACAGAAGATAAAGAACAAAGTGATGTGGAAATACTAGAACACTGGGAAGATTTGCAAGGAAGGCTATTCAGTATTTATAGATGTAAAGCCATGCCTTCAAGGAAAAGGAACTGTGCTGCACACTGAGAAGCCATTATATCAAAATGAAATCTGAAACTCAAATGACAAACAGTAAGATAAATACAACACAATCTCCCTCCCCTGTCACCCAAAAATGGCAGTAAAGGCCAGGCCAGCCTTGCAACCTGCATTGTCCTGTGGCCTTCATTCAGTTGCTACAACAAACCAAACCTGGCTGTGTTTTGCTCATTATTGGTTTGCAGATGTGAGGAATTAAACAAGTGTTACAATTCATTTCAAGAATGAATGCTGTAGGTCAGTAGAGCAGGTGGCTAAAAGCCGTGGGACAGCAAGAGTGAAAAGATCAATGAACAGCAATCTCCTCCCTCCTTTTAATCTGAACAGACAGGTTCATTCTTTGGAGAACACACAAAGAATTCAAAGCAGAAGCAGATAATCAATTACAGGTTCAGTATTCCAAACCAGAATTCAGACAGGCATTCTGCAATTGCCAACTCAAAATACCTGCTGCAGATTTCAGCAGCCAGTCCCTGCCGGGCAGACAGGCCGGCAAGGTGTGTAAACCTGAATTCAAAGCAATTGTTCTGTCTCCAAACTGAGTTTGAAACCTAGTAGCCATTAAGTTACTTGCGACCAGCTTTCAACTTTATTGATACCTCGATTAATTCAGCGTTGGAGGCGCAGCCATCTCATGGCTGTAAAAACGCTCTACTTTGCAGAGCAATAAAAGCAGCGCTACCACCCCTGAAATGCAGCCACAGCACGAGCACAGCCTGTAACCACAGCAGGGCTTTGCCTGTGTGCATTAACTGCTCTTTATTGCTGTCTCTGCCTCCCTGCACCACGGGGGAGCGTGCAGAGCGAGGAAGACTCAGCCCAGAGGTATAAAATACCTTTATTTAAGCTCCTGTGCTCCCACTGCCAGCACACAGACACTGAACACACTTAATAAAGCCAAGGGAGCACCGCAGCTCATCCTGAAGCTGAAACAGAGAGGCGGGACTGGGTTGCCTAAACCTAAAAACAAATATTCTTTGAGAGGCCCTCAGGCATCCAAGATGCTTTAATCTGAAATTAAACCCTGTCAAAACTGAATGGAATTTTTATTCTGTGCATAACTAAGGATCATAAAAACTCCAGCTGTCCTACAGCCCTCTCGTGTTTCTACCCAACCATGGCTGGCAAACCTGTTAATGCTGACATTTTTTTCAGTCCATACGTGCACTAATATCAAAATACAAAGTTGAGAAGTTCCAAATTCAGGCATTTAATTTAGATTTAAAATAACTTTAAAGTCTGCTTCACTATTCCAAATGCAATAAAATTAAAAACTCTTCTAAAAAATATCCAGTCAGTTTCTTTTTTTAATCCACAGAAGCCCTTTTTCATTTTTTCTATAGGTATGAAAACCAGACCACGGTGCTGTGATCCTCAGAGAAAAGAATAACATCAATATATCACATGTATACCGCTCTAAAAGAGATAAAGCTTGCAATGGCCACCCTCTGCTCTCTCAAAAATGGTTGAGCTAAAATAGCTATGTATTCTCCCAAGCTACCATCTTTTGAGACTTGAGAGTTATAATGAATGCACTGAATCAAAAATGCTTTCAGCAGTAAGATTTTTAGAAAGCAGTAAGAATTCTAGACACAGAATAAAACATTTTCCTTTGCCACAAAGTCAAAAGTTAACAAAGACAGGTACTGTGAAATGTCCTTTATCTTCTGCCAAAAAGCACCTTCCTGCAACAGATTTGAAGGGGAAGATAATTTGCAGGTTTTTTTGTGCAAAGTGTTCTGTTTGATCAGAGTGTTCCACATCTGCTCCTTAAAACAGCATGTACCTTTGCTAAATGCCAGCTGCCCTATGAAGGACTATGAAGACACTGAAGCCAGCGTGTCTGACAGTGGCCTGATGGTGTTAGGAACAGATTTTCCTTCATGTTGAGCATAAAGCAAGTGAAAACAGCCTCAATTTTTCAGTGACCACCCCCCACCTCCAGTGCTCACCTGAAGAAATGGGCCCTGACCCAAATTCTCATTCTTCCAAGAGAATACAATCAGTGCAAGAGAATTTGTATTACAAGTATTTGCTGCTTTGATTCGGTCAATCAGTATGTGAAATTGCAAGTACTCCCTCAATCTTGTACTACAAGATTGCCAGGCAACAGAAATACTGGTAGATTAATAGATCTATGTAAATTCATGTAAATTTTCCTCCACAGAACAAACATGCTTCTCCCATCTGAATAAAATTAAATTATTTCTAGAGCTCTACCAGCACAGTCTAAGCTAAAACCATTCCATAATGGGTACCTTCCAACACAGCTGCAACATTTCCACAAGGAATGCATTCCAACCCTGCTTTTTCTGTGCTTTTGTGAATCTGCAGTGGATAGGAAGAGGATCCATCTGGCCTCTGTCCCCATCCTGCACACCCATGAACAGCAGTGGGAAACATGAACTCCTTCAGGTTGGAAAAGCCCTCTGAGATGACCAAGTCCAACCTTTCCCCCAGCATGGCCAAGGCCACCACTAAACCATGCCCCTAAGTGTCCTTCCACCTGTCTTGTGATGTGGAAGACCATAGCCTTAACTGGGAGTTAAAGCAACATTTGGCTGGAATGGTCTATGCCTATTTCTCTCGCCACAACAGAGATAAAGACCAAAAATTCCCAGGCTCCAGCTGTATCCTCCCATAATTTTATCAGGAGAGAACTACCTAAAGGAATAAATCCACAAAATACCCGAGGTGTTCTGCAGAATAAAAATATCAGGTGCATGCTCTTCTACAAAGTAACCAGAAGTCCTTTATCATTAGCTCAACATTCAGGATAAGGAAGAAAATGGGCATTACTCACTGAAAATTTTGAAGGCTATAGAAAAAATTATTGGAAAGCCTTAAGTAAAGTACAGACTCAAAACCATATTTCTTACTGGAACAGGTATTGTCAGGGAACATAGTAAATCTAGAGTTTCAATAACAATTTAGCCTTAGGCATCAAGAGAAATTTCTTCTTTTTGCAGAAACATTTACCCATGCCATCCAAATGCCATTTAAAAAGTTATTCCTATATATCAGACTTCAGACAAGGATATTCATTGATCAGGTCCTGATGTTAGGGGGAAATACCCACAGCTTTCTCTTCCAGAAATTTGGGGATTTCTGTGCTTTTTTTTTTTTGCTTGTAACAAGTCTGATTGCTTTTCCTGTCTCAAAATAGAGGGTAAGTCAAGGCTTGAAGTTTCCAGAAACCAATATTTGGGTCAAATAAAAACAGCATTTATCACTTTTTTTCTTTCTATATGTAAACAAACCCTCCATGTTATGAGATGATGGCACATTTTTTAATGTCAGCTCTCAAAACAAGATGAGGATTCACCTATTAGCTAGTAAATCTCTGTTCATACACTTACATCAACTTTTGAGGTAAGAGTTTTGGGTTTTAACTGATGAGATTTCATCTTCCCAACAGCAGCAGAAAGAAGAGCCCAATTAACTCCATTCATTTGATTTTCTGGTTTGCTAGCAATGCATTTAAACGATTTGGAGCTATTGTCATTTTACACCCCATTAAATATTTCATCTGTCAGTCCCAGTTCTGCAAAAGGTCACTTTTTGTTTTTGTGTGCCACCCAAATTGATTTGCCAGGGTACAAGGGAAGCCACGCTTACTTACGCGGGAACATTTTCAAACTCTTCTGTGGTTATTAATGCTACTTCTTTAATGGCTCTTCCTTTTGCAGGTTTCTTCTCACATTTGGGTTCTACAGCCTTTGTTTCTTCTTTGTGTTTCACAGTTGGCTCCACGTTGCTGTAAAATGAAGGAATATTCAGTGCATAAACAGCAGGTAAGTTGGAAGAATTCCACTACACTGCTTAGTCACAGACCTAAGTTCCGGCCTATCTGTTAGGCTGGATGAACACAATAATGGTATTTCACAAAAGAAACATCAGTAAAGCAAGCCTACTCTGCTTCAAATCATATCCTTCAGCTGACTTCAGCACAGCTCTTGGTTTCTCAGCTACAGAGGCTGCTAGCAGGTGAACTGGAAACAGTCCAAGTGCAGCATGGCACAGCTCAGAATTCAATGTACCATTACATTTCACACAGCGCAAGGCCTGGCTTTTTATCAGATGAAACACAGCACAGAGCTGCAGCCTTAACAGGCAGATTTGAAATACTTCATAGCTCTTTGAAACAGGTTCAAATCTTGGGAAGCCTGACTCATCCATTGAACTTTTGAAGCAAAGAAATTCAACCACCTTGCAGACACTTTTAAAAATTTATTAGGCAAGATCCAAAAGGTCAAAGAATTTCCTGATTTATTCCTGATTATTTATAAATTCACCCTTCCTCTAAACCCTCGGCTTAGAGTCTCAAACCCCAAGGGATTTGCCAGCCACCCACCCAGCTGCTCCTCAGCAGCACAGCAAAGGTGATGCATATGGCCAAATCCACTGTCATCAGAACACGTGGACATTCCTGGGATATGCAGCAGAATTAACTAAGGCAGTACAAAGCTGACCTGGACCAGGAAATGATCCTCTGCTTGAATATGAGCATCCCCCGAGACATCATTGTTACACGTGGGGTCCCTCAGCAGTGAACGGCACAGCAGTGCCCCATCTGTCGACTCCAGGGCAAGGATTTGAGGTGTCATTGATGTGACCCAGTGTCTCATGGCCCAGGAACACCAGTGCCACGGAGAGCACAGTGGGTGCTACCTGCTGGGCTCCCACACTGTCTGCTCGGTGACACGGGACCGGAGCAGCTCTGCTCTGCGCCGAGACACAGCACAGAGCCCTTCTGAAACCCAGGACATCTGCAGCCAGACTTACTCAGGTGTCATCACCTGAAGAACATCTGTTTGCATCTGACCAGCAACAACAAAACGAATCCTGGCACCCTGCAGCCAGCAGGGAATGTCAGCAAACAGGAGGGAAAGGGGAGGGGGGGTTGCATTTTGGGTGGTGGTGGAGGTGGGTTTGGAATGAAAGGATAAACACAAGAACCAAGGGAATCAAGTTCACATCTTGAAACTTCATTACTCCCACACTCCAGTCTCCTGCTCAGCCTTCCGCTGTCTGTTACACTGCAACAAACCTTTTCTAGATGATTCCCCACATCCAAGCATCCTTCCTTTGTGCTCCCACCCACTCCCTTGTCCCTGCACTGCTGCAGTGAGGTGGTGCACACACAGTTCACCACTGACCTCAACCATGAAAAGGAAAAACTTATGCTTGTTTACAAAATCTGGCTCTGGTGGAATGAGATACTGAATCTCAACAAACACCAGGGGTACAAGGAGCTTGAGAGATATTGAACTTGCTTTTTATTTCAGTGAGATTCCTCTGGTAAACAAGAAAAGAAAACCCAAGGCAAGAAACAATAAAGCCATGAATTGCTGAATTTCTCTGTGTGGGTGTTTTCATTTTCCCAGGGACTTCAAGGCTTGTCTCAACAGCATTCAAGTGCTCCTCTGCTTTCCGCATTACCTCACAAAAATGACTAAACATTAATATTCACAGCCCCACATGTCTGGGAACAGAAAGGGAGGAGGCCAGAAGAAGATTAGGGGAATAGGCCTGAAAACATATTTACAGTGATAACAGTGGGTTTTAAACAATTATGTCCCTTCTCACACTCCCTTGACCCTGCACTGTACAACACAATGAACATCAAGAAGTCACAACATGGGGAGAAAAGGAGAAAGTGTGTTTTGACAAGTGGCATCATTATACAGTGCATTATTACTCAAGAAAAACCAACAACAAACCAACACTGCCAGAACAGCAGCTGTGAGCTGGCTGAGCACAATGTGTAGAAAACTATCAGAAAAACTTGGTTTGTTTTACATATTGTGGTTCCCTCCAGAAAGGGAAGAACTGGCTAAAGTCATATCACAATTAACTTCCTAATCACAAGCAGGACAAGATTGTAAGGGAAACAAACATCCCAAAAAATCTTTTTGTGTCAGAGGCAGCACAATCACTGACCAAATCTCATTTACATCTAAACAATTTCCAGGAGCTAACACAAAGTTAAGACAAAGTATTTCCTACAATAAGAAAGTAAGGTATGACAGGAAGGCAGAACCCAAGTGGTAATTTCTGGAAAACTTCAATTCTTACACACACACACACAAGAAAAGCAACATCTAAATTGAAAAGGAACATGTCACCCCTAGAGACATTTTAAAAGGCTGTTTCCTAAACTGAGGGGTTCATGTCTAAGGGTGGGTGGGAATAAGAAAAAAGGCTTCTGCACAGGTTATCCCTTCACCAGTTAAGAACAGTTTCAATACAATACCTACACCAATGACCATATTGCTACACACCAACAAAAATTATTGTTCCTTTTTCTCTTATAGAATCCTCTTTCCACACATTTAACCTTTTACTTTGCTGGAATACATCTGTAATGTTTTGAGACTGAGGCTTCTCTGGCATTAGGAGCCAGACCAAGTAAACCTGGTTGATTCAGGGCACATATGGAAGCACTGAGTTCAAACTAATGCATTGCCTTTTGACAAGCTACAAGGTGGGAAAGAAACTCTGGGATCCCCAGGTAATAATACTCTGCAAGTGACCCCACCTGACACAGGCTAACAACGCTCCACAAAAAAAAGCAGCTCCAACAGGATGGAGAAAGATATGAGGAACTCAAGAGTTGAAATGTCTTAGAAGCCTTCTGAGTAAGTGTTAATTCATAGCTGTTATTTTCTCACACTTCAGCGACTTGACTCTGAAAAGCTTCTTACTAGAGCCCCCGCCAAGGCAAGGGGATGTCATAGCTAGCTGAAATAAATGCAGGATTTCTGTAGGGAAAAGAGAACAAAACTACCACAAACACAATTCAAAGTCCCACAGAAAGATGACTGAGTTAGAGGATTTTTGGTTTTTAATGATATTTGGAAGGGCAGTGGTGAACTTCAGTTCTAGTGGCCCAGCATTTGGGTCATAACCCTTTACTCTGTAGGCAGCGCAGTTACATAATCGGTGTGTTTGTGATTCTAAAGGAAGGGATGCTCAGACTCAGAGAAGCACTTGCTTTCTACTACACCACACCTACCCCTGGAAACTCCCATTGGATCAACTTGGGATTTTATAGTCTTGACCTGACAAATTTGTTGGGGTGCTAGCACAAACCTGGACAAGAGCCAACTCCACAATCAATACATACAACAACTTTGGCTCCCAAAATTTCCCAGTTAATGTGGAGTGAAAGGAACACAGCTGTACAGTGCTGCAGCTGGACAGTGCCAGGAGCAGCCCAAATCCTCGGGGCTCATGTACCACATACCAGACCTGGAGTGGTTTAGGCAGATAGCGTGGCATGTGTTCAAGGAGGTGCCATGCTTCCTTTTGAGCTCTCTCAGCAGACTTCTGGATCTCCTGAAATTAATATTAGACTTTATCAGAAATCCCATCCTACTAAGATCAGGCAAGTAAAATTAGGGCAATACTAAATTAATTTTCAGCTTTTTAAGAGGTGTCTTTTATTCTGTCAACATCATCTTACCTCCATACCCCATAATTTCCCCAGGGAAGCTAGTAAAGATACAAAGGAAGGAGCATCTGTCCTTGTCCTCAGAATGTCAGAGAAATTTGAGCAGGCAGAAAGAATTTTAGCAACACACCCTCAGCAAGGTCTGGTCAGGGGAATAGTGGTGGTGAAGATGAGATACTATGCTAAACTCACCTCCACTCCCCAAACAACATTTCTACAAAAGACTTAACAAAGTCACTGTAAACACACAATAGAAAAACAGACAAATATTCTAACTGAATAACTTGTGCAGCTACTGCAAAGATGTGTAAGTGGAACTGCTCTTTAGATCATCATATCTATTATGATAAAGACATGTTTTCAAGGCCAGTGACAAAGACATTATTTTAATGAACTTTGGATGAAGGAAGGTAGACTCAGATTAGCTATTAAGAATAAATTCTTCCCTGTGAGGGTGGGCAGGCCCTGGCACAGGGTGCCCAGAGCAGCTGTGGCTGCCCCTGGATCCCTGGCAGTGTCCAAGGCCAGGTTGGACGGGGCTTGGAGCAGCCTGGAACAGTGGGAGGTGAACCTGCCCATGGCAGGGGGTTGGAACTGGCTGAGCTTTATGGTCCTTTCCAATTCAAACCATTCTACAATTCTATGATTCTATGTACAAGCCTTGAAAAATACAATTTTTAATGTTCATTGTCTGGAGAACTGCTTAACAAACCATCAGCAAGCCTGTTCCAAGCCCCAGTTTCTCTTGTAAGTACATGCATGCAAACATCACTAAGAATCTAGGGAAAAAGTGACAAATGTATCAAAGATTTCTTTGAATCTTTCAGTATTTTATGAACAGGAAAAAAAAAATACTACTTTGAGCGATTTTTTCAGTTCTTCTTGCTTTTTAACTTGAATTTCCATTGCTTGCAGGAGCTCATGTACAAGGATCCCCTCGTTACATATTTTATGGAGAAAACGTTTGCAGGAATCGTGTTTACCTGTAAAAGAGAGACTATTAAGCTGCAAAGTCTCTAAGAAAAAACCAAAATCCAATATTCCTCCCCTCCACAAGAAGTGGTTATCTAAATCTCTGCTCCTCAGCCACCATATCCATCCAGGAGAAGCAGCAAGCCAAACTATCAGCCTTGTACTCTGCACTGCCAACAGAGTTCATGGAATCACTTAATTTGGAAAAGCCCAGCTATTACCCCAGAGCACTGTCAAGGCCACCACTAACCTGCGTCCCAAGTGTCACAGCCATGTGGCTTCAGGATTCCACCGCCTCCCTGGGCAGTTCCAGTTCCTGAGCCCCTTTCCATGGGGAAATTCCTGCTGGTTCCACCCTGAGTCTGTCCTGGCCCAGCCTGAGGCCGTTCCCTCTGCTCCTGTCCCTGTTCCTGGAGCAGAGCCCGACCCCCCGGCTGTCCCCTCCTGTCAGGAGCTGTGAGAGCCACAAGGTCCCCCTGAGCCTCCTTTGCTCCAGGCTGAGCCCCTTCCCAGCTCCTCAGGAACTCTCCAGCCCCTTCCCAGCTCCCTCAGCCTCTCCTGGGGCTCAGCCCCTTCCCCAGCTCCATTCCCTTCCCTGGACATACTCCAGCCCCTCAGTGTCTTTCTTGCAGTGAAGTGCAAACCAAACCCTACTGTTGCTCTTGTTTACCTAGGTCTCTCAATATGATACACTTTTTAATATTTGAAATCCTCAAACTGATGTAGAGGCATAAATCTTCCAGGCTTGAGGATGCCATAGCGTTCACCATCACACTGAGAGGGAACAAAAATGAAGGCAGGAATTTAACAAACATAGAAGTTATAAACATTGCATACAAAAGCAGAATTTGTAGAAGGACCCTGAACTGTCAAAGAAGCAAAGGAAATGTAAATGAAACAGTAAATGGAGTAATTCTCTTTTGTCTTACTAGATTGAAGGCAGGAAAGGAAGCATAAAGTGGCACTAGACAAGGCAGAAGTTTCCTAGAACTTTGGAGATAAATGCAGTATATCAGTGTAGCGATTCCTCATGAGACCAGGAGCATCCTTGTTATATTGAAGAGTGAAGTCAAAAAGGAGTTGGAATTTACTGCAAAAACCAAGAAACACCTGGCTTATATAAGGCATAGAAGACTCTCTCAGGGAGACTACATCAGATGATTGATGTTTAAAGAGGTGTGTTTCTTTAAAAATGTAATTAAGAAAAAATAGCCGTTATTAGTGAAGTCTGGAGGCATGAAAAAGAGCATTATAGATCGATTGCTATATTGTCTATAATAATAGACTTATTAACCCTATTATAGACAGGAATTGATTAAAAGAAAAGGTTATACAATGTGACAATCCCCCGCATTTGACACTGGGGCCCAGCACTGAGCGTTCACACAGCTCCCTCCAGCGGCTCACGCTTGGAAATTTTTAAAATACCTTTATTTCGCTTTTGGCTTAAAATACTATCAACTACCGCGCTTATTAAACCCGTTCTTAGAGAGCTCCCCACCTCCGTACCTGCGTGGACACTCCGAGGCGGATCGGGATTCCCTGAGGGGATCGAGGTCACGGCAGCGCCCGCTTCTCCTCAGGTTTTACCAGCGCCAGTGCTTCCAGGCCTTCGTCCCACCCGCTCAGCCGCTCGGCCGGGGGAAGAGAGAGGAAGGAGGCCGGGGAAAGAAGGAGGTCGCTCGGCCGGGGGAAGAAAGAGGAAGGAGGCCGGGGAAAGAAGGAGGTCGCTCGGCCGGGGGAAGAAAGAGGAAGGAGGCCGGGGAAAGAAGGAGGCCGCTCGGCCGGGGGAAGAAAGAGGAAGGAGGCCGGGGAAAGAAGGAGGTCGCTCGGCCGGGGAAAGAAGGAGGCCGCTCGGCCGGGTAAAGAGAGGCCGCTCGGCCGGGTAAAAAGAGGCCGCTCGGCCGGGTAAAAAGAGGCCGCTCGGCCGGGTAAAAAGGCCGCTCGGCCGGGTAAAAAGAGGCCGCTCGGCCGGGTAAAAAGAGGCCGCTCGGCCGGGTAAAAAGGCCGCTCGACAGAGAGAGGAGGACGCGAGGCCCCGGCTGCCGCAGCCCGGTTCGAGGCCCGGTTTGAATCTGCCGCGCTCGGGCGGCCGTTGGGGAGGGCGGGGAGGGCGCGTGCGCGCTGAGGGGAGCGGGCGGGAAGGGCGGAGCGGGAACCGGGGCAGGGGAGCGGGCGGGAAGGGCGGAGCGGGAGCAGCGGGAACCGGGGCAGGGGAGCGGGCGGGAAGGGCGGAGCGGGAACCGGGGCAGGGGAGCGCTCGGGAAGGGCGGAGCGGGAACAGCTGGAACCGGGGTGGGGAGCCGGCAGCGCTGAGGGGAGCGAGTGCAGGGCGCTGAGGGAGGTTGTAGGGCAGGTTTGGGTCGGTCTGGTCTCTCAGGACAAGGGGATGGAGCCGGCAGCGCTGAGGGGAGCGAGTGCGGGGCGCTGAGGGAGGTTGTAGGGCAGGTTTGGGTCGGTCTG